TCTTCAAGTAACTTAAAGAAGTCCAGACGCTTTTCTTTGCAAGCTCCTTTGACTTTGGTAAATATTATTATTTTGACTGTAATTCACAATATTCACCACCTGCTCAGTATGTCGGCCAGTGTTGTGATAGAATAGGAGATTTAGAGAGAACTATTCTGTACCTACCTAATGATGGCACATGTGGGAACAATAAATGGCGCATGCGTTCAGATCAGACATTAAATTTACTTTATTATAGCAGCTCCCCAGTACAGTTGCACAATGTTGCATCCATGTGAGAAGAGCCCACATAAATGCCCTGGTGACTGTGACTCATCATGCTCTGGTGTGATGCCGCCCTCTAAACCAAGCACAGTATTTCCAGTATCAATAAATCTGAGGTGAGACTTTTTCACGCGGGAAAGGTCAACTATGGGCAATGCCCCAAAAAGGATTCTCATAAGACTGTGTGGAGTTGAAAATGCTGCAACTCACAAATGTTCTGCTCACCCTACAAAGCTCCAAGCACACACAGGAGGCTCGTTTACTTAATGGGTCCATCTGCTACACACAGACTCGTTTAACTCACAGTCAAAGGTGCAAATGCAGAAAACATCGTCAGCCCTCTGCTCGTCTTTCACCCTCGATCACTTTCATTTGGCTTGTTTAATTCATTCCCCTTCAAAATACATGTTTTCACAATACGAACTTATACAAAAGGTCCTGTGGTTTATTTATACAATAATTCAGCTCATTATAGAGTTTTCTAAACCTGCAACAGCCCAGTGGATATGTGAGGCTATCAAGGACCACGTGAACTGGAGTTTCGTAGCAAGCGAAGGCGTGTTCAACTCACAGTGCTATCGATGTAGGCCTCAGTCCAAACTGTGTCGTGCTCCCGGTCAATCACCTTGGGGCGACTGAGAACATGGAGATACTCCATCACGTTCTCTTGCACATCTGCCAGTGTGGAAATTTGAGTGAAATACCCTGTTGAGCAAAAAGTGGAGGAGAAAGATAAACAGAAGTGAAGAATTGTTCATTCTTAATTAAAGCAGATTAATTATTTAAATTAGATGCTGCCAACAATGAGGCAGCACAGCTCAGAGGTCTAACTGCCCAAAAACACATGCTCTGTGTCTCTAAGCTGTTTGAGGGTCGATCAGATGCCTGAAAAAACATTTTAGCTTTATGGAGCCAGCAACATACTCCAAGTCATTGCTGCTATTTTAATCATCTTGGTAACAAAGCAGACTAACTACATGTGGGATGCAGAGCTGCTGACCTGCTGTTTGCATGATGGAAACTTGGTTAAATGTATGACTAACTTTTAAAGTATCCTCCGCAAACTATTCAAGCAAGTCCCATCATGGGTTTTTAATGTATCTGTATATGCATGTGTATCTAAATGTAAGAGCAAAAATATCTCAGTTAAACTACAAGCGATTCCATCTCCCATAATGGCATCGTTATGATACTAATGTGTATGTGAAGGAGGAAATATACTGTCTCAGGAGGAGGCTCAGACAAAGCGAGAGCGTCAGCACTGCAGTCAGAGACAGAGGCGCCGTGAATAAGGGAAAGAAAAAGCCCACCACATTTTCACCCAGCTGTAAAAACAGCAAACGGCCTCCATCACTGTTGGGCATTCAAGTAGAAAATCATAGTCGGAGGAAATAGATGTTGGGGTCATCTTTCCCACAACAACTTTCACTCCACAGGGAGAAAGGACCTGAAGTCTAGACACAGATCTGTGATAGATGGTGCATCAACCCAGCACAAATATCTGATAATATGCACCATTGATTATAAGCTAATCTTAAAACTATATCTATAGTAAAGCCCAAAATAGAATAATTAACTAAAAATAAAATCTATTATTGACAAAAAGTGCTGATGTCACATAACTGCTGTAATCAGTAGATTAACAGACTTAACTCTGAACTTGACCTGGAAGTGAACCTTTGCAGGTCTTTTTGGAGTTGGCTATTATTCCACCAGACGGTGCAATGAGAACACACACATACAGACACACATCACACACAAAGACACCGTCTAGTCTAACGGCATCGTTCATCACAGCGGTGAGTCGAGAATTACCGCTCCCTCTCGAAGGCTGAGGGCGTCCTTCGAGCTGAGGCGTCAGGGCCGGGTGCCAGGGGAAGAAAGATGAAGGCTCCCAACTTTCAGTGGATGGTGCCCATGTTGTACATACAGCCTCAGCAAGGTGTGGACAGGGCGAGGGCATCAATATATTTTTACATGACCTTGGTCTGGGTCATATGTAGCAAATAAGATCCAGTAAGGTGTCCTGATTCGTGAAAATAATGGATGAGGTGGAAGTGAAAATGTATCATCGTGTAAGGAAGCGCTGTGTTGGTGCACAGTAAAAGTATTTTACAACAAAACTGTTTTTTGCTTATTAGAAGGAGAGAGCTCGTCGGAGGAAATGAAAGATGATAACTTTTACTCCACAGGGAGAAAGGACCTGAAGTCTAGACAACACACAGATCTGTGGTAGACGTGTGCATCAACCCAGCCGGTAAATAATCTACTTAAAGAAGACTTAGAAATGTTGCCTTGCTTCCTGTTAAAATGCCCTTTAAAAAAGTCCTGATGTAAATGCTGTTAAAATGTTCTGTGTAGATTTCATGATGTAGATGACTCATTTATAATAAGTTACATAATTTCATGAATATATATAGTTTGTGTTGAAATGTCTTTATTTGAAATGTACATAAAGTGTAAGAGCTAGTGTCTCGTGAGAATAACGAGAGTACACGAGACTTTGCATGGACTGCGAGGGAGCAGATGTCTCTCATGAAGCGATTTTAAGCTAAAAGTTTGCTAAAAGAAAAAGCAACACAAGGACTTAAGGACCTCTTTTCAGGACAAGCAGCCAACGAGGTATTTGTCATTTGAGAAATGTTTTTTATTTGTGTTTGGACTTAATATGTGTACTGTAAAGTTGCTAATTGGTTTGTACTGTTCGCTCGTGACCAGTTCTCGCGGCGTATTGGCGTATCGGCGTACTGGTGATGGTGAAGCCGAGGAGAGAAGGCCCAAGTAATAAACGCCTGTTTCAAAGAACCGACCTGTGTCTGTGTTGTCGTGAAGAGAGCTACAACTGATTACCTGCAGAATCATAACATTTAAGAATACTCAAAGGACAACAGAGGAAAACTACTCCTGCTCTGGTTGCAACAAGGCAAGTACTGATGTAGCGTTTAAATCTGAATACAATTAAGATGTTAAAATGCACGTGTAATAAACTATTTATAAAGAGGTGTTGATCAGCTTTGATACACATTTTGGCAAATAATTGCTACGAACATCTGAAACGACACTAAAGTTACTTGTAGACAACACGGCGATTTGTAGTGAGAATATGGAGCAGATGGAAGTAACCCCGGAGAGGAAGCCGAGGTATGAAGGTAAGAACGTGTGTGAATAAGGTCGAAGGAAATGTGAAGACGCAACGAGTAGAGGGAGTGAAAGGGGACGAGTTTAAATAATATCGACCGTCCAACAAACTGCACACGAGAGCACGGTGAAGGTGTGGTAGTTGTGTAACAATAAGAGTATTTGTCTTTTTTTCTTTTAAAAAATGTTGCCTGATATATCAGACACCATCCATCCATCTTCATCCGCTTTATCCGAGGCCGGGTCGCGGGGGCAGCAGCCTAAGCAAAGCTATATCAGACACATGAAACATAAACAGATTTCCCTAAAATCTTCTATGTGTTGTTTATTTACTCATTTACATCCGACTCAGCTCAGATCAGCGGTTATTTTGCTTGTGGTCATCCAAACAGCTGGTGTGTTAACAGGGAAGCTGCACAGTTAGTGAACAAACTGTCCAACATCAACACTCGTAACAGGACTGAAAAGTGTTTCTCCCAAATCTTCTTTACTTCTTACTTTTTCACAGATCAGCCATTATAAATACCAATAGATCAACAATAAGTTACTATAACACTGGCCCACTGATAAACCGGTCGATCGCTAAAAGAGTTACTAGTTGTGTTCAAAATGTGCTTTTAGCCATTCTTTCTTATAAGAAGTTGAAAATGTATTTGTTGATATACAAGTAAAGTGATTGTTATTGTTTTAATAAAGTTGTTATTGGTTTGTTGTCACTTTTATTGCACTTAGGATGTGACAACACATTAACCAGTGGGATTGACCAACCACTGCAACAGCCCTATGGAGTCAAAAATGTATCTACCATAACTGGATAAATAACCTTTGACCTTTACACACTCACCGCCAACCAAACGTATTCCTAGTGTTTCAGGTGTAGTAGTAAATATACAGGGCAGCACG